AAATCATAAGTGTAAGTCCTAGTAGCTGTGTGGGAGCACACACCTATAACTCTAGCACTAGGAAGATTTAGACAGGAGGATCACCATGATTTCAAGGTCAGCCTGGGTTACATAGTGAGTTCATGTCCGATCTGAACTACATAGTGAGACCCTGTCTCAAAAAATCAAAAAGAAAAAAATTAAATGTAAGTAATTGAAAAGACGCAATTTCTAGTGTAATATATATTACATATACTTCAATTACATTTTTAATCATGATCTTGAAGCTACATATTTAATTCATTCCTTTGGTGTAGAATGACTGCCAGGTAATTTAAAGGACAATGCCAGTATTCAATGTCAACCAAATTAATAAAAAAATTTTACTGTTAGAAAAAGTCTGATTTGGATTTTAATGTGAGCGCCATTAGGTAAGCCTGTGACAATAATCTCACTTCTGAGTTTCAGCTCTGAGACAGACAGCAAAGGCACAAAGTGTCTTGGTGATTCTCCCTCACACCTGCATAAAAAATGCAATGCCCTCACTAACATTTCACACCAAGGGTATTTCTGCTTTTGATCTTGTAGATCTCTTCCTCAGGAACTACTCATTCTTCAATTAGCCCACTTTAGCCTATGTTTGCAGATATAGCATAGGTGCCTCCCACGTACACCCAGCATGAAGACTCCTGGAATGTCCTACATATCATTTTAAAACTCAAATTTTAAAAAAGGTTTACCAGGATAAATATGGTGATTTCTGTTTCTGCTTATATGGATGTCTAGAAGTCCAGATAAAGCTTTCCAATATTGAATCTAAAAATTATAGATAAAATGTTTAAAATATCTTAATCTAATTAAGTGATCTCTCGGGGAAAGAAATGAGATTCATCCCCTGGATAAAATGAAAGTAATAATCATAAAAGTTAAACTTATCTTTTCTGTGTGTTGAGAAGAGGTAGAGAGGTATATTAGCTATCCTAGGTGCATATATGATGAGGAGAATAGAAAAGAAATACAAAGTCTGCGTCTTTGTTTTCCACAGTTGTAATAGAATACCACAGACTAAGTAAATCATAAAGAAAACATTTATTTCTCATAGTTCTAGAGCCCAAAAGCCCAAGAACATGGGACTGGCACCTGGTGAGAGCCTTCCTACAGCCTCATAATGTGGCAGCAGACATGACAGAGGCTGTGTGTTCAGATTTCTACCATTATCATTTTCATTTTCAATGAAAATTGTTTCTGTATACCAATATTTCATATATATTTCTAAAAATGAAATAATGATCAAAAGGCATGATAGCCATTTTTCATTTAACCACCCACAAAGGTCACACAAGTTTATGCTTTCACATTGAAGGATATGGGAAGAATCCTGAATTTCATAATAACTTTTAAATACACAAATTTGAGCTGGACATGGTGGTGTATGCCTGTAATACCAGCAATCTGGAAGGCTGAGGCAGGAGGATCACAAGTTGAAGTACAACCTGAATTATCTAGAAGACTTAGCCAAAACCCTGACTCAAAAAATTTTGAAAAACAATCTGGGGAAATACTTCAGTTGATAGGCCATAGGCTCAATTTCTAGTACTGCCACCCAAAATGTGGATATTGACAAATTTTTAAAATATGACATTACCTTTCAACTTGCATTTTCCTGCATATCAGTGAAATTCAGTAACTTTCCAGATGTTTTTCAATTACTATATTTGTATGTATTTGTGAATTGCCCATACATTTCTTCATCCATTTTTCTAATCTTATTCAAACTGGTTTAGAGAAATGTTATATGCTATGATTAGTTAGCAATGGTCAATTCTTTATGCAAAAATTTTCTGATTCATCTGATTTTACTTTGCTTATATTTTCTTGATATACATACGTATATATACTTTATGTAGTCATATCAAAAATGTATGCTTTTTTTGCCTTGCCTATCCTAGTGACTAAACAATTTTCCTACATTTTATTTCAACATTTTAATAGCTTCATTTCTTATGTTAACACTCTTTATTCCATCTGAGCACCCAATGTCCTATTTCTGCTCTTTGTGTTGTTCACTGAATTAGTTTCTTTGGCTTTTGGTTGGGAAGAATGACTCATGTTTGTAATACCTTCTCTGGGTGTTTTTTAACTCACAATATCTTTTGCTCTGGTTTCTGGAAATGTGATCCATCTGCTTACCAAACTGTAGTTATCCCTCACTAGTAGCCATTTCCTTTCTTCTTTTCTTTCACTCATTCATTCTTTTTTCCTAGCACTATGGTTACTTTATTCCTATTTTTTATCTCTTCTCTTTCATTTCAATGGAATTTTGGAAGAAACTGGAATATAGATACATGTGCTCAATACATCATCAGGAATGGAAATATCTGAGTATATGTGTCCTAGGAAATATTTTTATTAGGAATAAAAATATATGCAGAATCAAAACTTTGAAAAATTAAAAAAAAAGGTCAATAGAAAAATTTAAAAGCAACCAAACTCCATTAATAATAAAACTAAAAATGTTAAGAGGTTGATAAATCACTGTTGATATTTTTAATGCCCCTAAATAAAATTTTGTTGAAAGGCTGGATCATAGTATATATTTAGTTTTATGTTTTAAAACTTATAGAATGTAAGGAGTATTTTCAATAGCCTTGAAAAACATGGTTTTATAGAAATAGCTATAGAGTACTCCATCTACACATACTTTTTAGAAATTAATGATCAATGCTTTTTGTTAATATCTATTTCCTGAAAAGGTAATATAGTCCATGATTCTGTGGAATGAAGTCGCTTTCCCATCCCTGACTCCCACGACCCACATTCTTCTCCTGAGGAAAACAAACGAAATACTTGAGTCTTTGGGAAGGATAAGAATTAGGTCAAAGGATATATAGTGGACCCTTGACTTATGAAGTTAATTCATTCCCAAGCGCTGGGTGTAACTCAAGTTGGTCAACTGCCTTCAGAGTCTCTCTTCTGCATAATTTTAGGCCATACTTTCCACCAGGCAGATCTCAGTGTCCTTAGATAGACATTGGCCCAGGATTTCTCAGTTAACCCCACACAGGAAAGGATGTTGTAATGTTCCTTCCAGGACCCATTAAGGATAAATCTGTATCTGAGACCATCTGGAAATACAAGCGGCAGACATTTGGGTCCTAACTAAAGACTTTGTTTATAAGTTAAAACTAAAGTTCCAGTTGTAAGTCAAGTTGTTCATATGTCAGGCCAGTCGTAACTCAGGGTCCACTGTATATCATTCTAGCTCCTGATACATATAGGTTCTCCAGAATTATATAATGTTCACCACTTCCACATAAAGACATCCCTTCTCAAAATGTCTGTCAACATGAAAGGCAATAAACTTTTTATTATGAAGCTCTTTGGCTCCAAGGCCTAAGATGTAGATGTAGCTAAGACCATTTCTTCATGTTTACTAGCTCATTAAACATCTTCGACGTGAACAGTCCACTTCTCATTTCAAAAGTCCTTTCTCATTTTTGAGTAATGGCCACTCCTCTGTATCTCCCTCCTTCAAGTGCAAAACAGGTTTTCTGCTCACAGCAAGGTCTCTGGCTCCTTTAACTAATTAACAGTGCACCCTCCACTGCCTACACCCATATTCAATAGAGATTTCTGGTAATGCTCAAGATTTCTTTCTTGAAGCCCACCTCCAACTTCTGACCAAAAGAAGAGTGGAAGCTCAGAGAAGCCATGGAGATGATGGGAGGCTGGTGTTTCCCTCTCTATGTATCCATCTGAATTCTCACAGGCTACATGACCTGGAGTCCATCAGTCAACTTCTTTGTGCCTCCATCCACTCTCATTTCCAGGTGTTGCTCACCTCTGCACCTTAGTCCACTCCATCTCTGTAGTGTGGAAGGTCCCTACAGCCCAGCTTCCCCTCCAACTTTGGTTAAGTGCCCCTTCTTTATGAACTCTCAGAGGCACCTGAGATGCCCATCTCTCATCCTTATGGTGCATGCAGTTCATGAATGTGTCTCCCAATCCTTTTCAAAAGTTCTAATGTTCCCCAGACCCCTGCACAGCACATGTGCTTGGATATTGATAACGGACCTGACACAGGGCACACACATATGCCACATATGACTTTTCCACGGGATAGTTAGTTCAGTGCTCTCCACAGCTGGCCTAGGAATCTCCTAAGCACTGAAAGACACTCGAGGTGCTTCTCTGCGCCTTTCTTTCTAGGATTACAAGCTCTACCTATTACTTTTTCCCTAAGTAAAGAATAAAGGTGCAGTTTCTCTACCCCTAGACCTGATCCAGGTGGGGTTTGGCTGAGGCTGCCCCACCTGGCCCTCCGGGTGAATTCCAAATTCGATCCCAATCTCCCTCCCTGTTTTCCCTTCAGTACCCCATAATTCAATTTATTGTCATCTCTTCTCCTGTGCCACCCACTAAACTCCACCCTTTATTATAAGCATTCCAGTGCTGATTTATGTTCATTCTCAAATTTTTAGTGGAAATTTATCATTTTTTCTTGACAGATATATCATCGCTGTATCCTCTCAATCTTCACAATATAGAGATCTTCAATAAACAAGTCAAGAGTGAAATGTTGACTCTTCCTTCATTTTTAAATTCCACCTTCATAGAATGAATGTTTCCTTGGCCTTTTGCCACCTAGTCCCTGTCCACCACAAAGGCAGCTCCCAAACAGGCCTTACTGACAACGGAAAAGAAGCTGTAGACTTTGGATTCCAGATGGAAGAATCAAACACAGCATCAGATGGAACTTCACACTGGTGCTTTACAAATATACCAGTGTCGCGGCGGGGCGCGGGGCTGGCGGTGGGCTTCCAAATACAGACATTCTGATTTAATAATCCAGGGTTCAGCCTGAGCACTGGAAATTTTAGACCTAAAAGAAATCCGAGTGTGCACATCCAGTCTCCAAGATCGAATTTGCACCTTCTAAATCTCTTTGCCTGAGAAAAGACAAAAGAACTAGGCGTGGATGGGTGCACAGTCAGCCCCACCCCAAACACGGGCGGCCCCACCCAGGCGCCGCAGCTGCAGTCCCGCCCTTGGATTTGGGCTCTGGCGGCGCGGAGATAAACACCTGAACCTCACTGCTCTGCGAGCCAGCAACTCGGTCCCCGGGGTAAACGAGGCCGGCTTCTCGCGGGACTGCAAGGGAAGCCTATCCGGGGTGAGTTACTAAAATCGCCCCTCTTGGAGGCTGGCCCTCGGAGAAAGTGGCGCGAGGAGGTTCACTACTTCCTCCAGGGTCTTGCGGATTGAACGGGGGGCAAGGGCCAGTGGGTGGCGGCCGGATAGAGTAGGGGGCCAAGACCGAGGCAACGACCAACCTGCCAGCTGGCGCCCTTGGCTGACGCATACCCAATCCACAGCTCCGGGGTGTGGACAGCCCCTTGCTGTGTGTGCGCGTGCGTGCGTGTGCGTGTGCGTGTGTGGGTGGGTGGGCGCGCGCGCACACACACACACGCATGAGTGAGCTGCCTTCCACCCTCCCTTCCTGTAAGCTCTTGTTCGTCCTTTTTGCCCAGGTTCTCCTCTCTCTCTCTCTCTCTGCTGGTTCAGTGCTTGCACCTCCTGTTCCTTACTGCCACCTATTCGCCCCTTTCAGCAGAAGTTGTGGCTGGGAGTCTATTTACCTGCCCACTCCTGCCTGCCCCCGCTAGCCTGGGAAACAGTGTGCGTGTTCACATTGCCTAATGTTAACTCAGCCTTTGTACTGAGTAGACTGGCAAGAAGACACCGAAGAAGGCTGCAGCCTGATCAAACTGAAGACACTGGTATCTTCCAAAGAAAGCATCTTTACAGTAAATGAAAATGTACATTTACTTTCATCTATACATATACAGTACTTAGTATGACTGACTTTGGTTAGCATAGGGAGGATAATTTGTTCTTGCCAGTGGGAATAGCCACTATAGTTCTGGTGAGTATTTTGCTGTCATTATGTGCTTGGCACTCCTAATAAATCATCTAATTTATGGTCGTGCCATTTTACAGAGACTGGGAAATAGATGGGGAGATGATGTACAGCTGATAAGCACTGAAATGCAGCCAGTTTCTCCTCCTCACTCCCCACCAGGACTCCGAGGAGAGCACTGTGTGCAGGACCATGCATACCCATACACCCCTAATTTGTTCAAATGATTCATATGGACTAGTAACGATCTTATAATACTCCTTAACATTTCACCTGTACTCTCTCTTACTCCTACAGCTCCAGGTGTGGTATTGGTATAAAGTATTAGATCCCCCTCCTTTGTAGAGAAAGAAACTGGGCTACCAAAGATAAAATAATTTTTACCAAAATGGCAAAAAAAGTCAGTGAGAAATGCAGAATTCCAACCTGGAGATGAATCTGTAGCCATCACTGCCTATGCAGGTGAACAGCAAGCATTCTGAACCCCAAATGGAGGCAGCTTCATGCTGCTAAGCTCTGAAGTACTTGGGAGCATCTGTCAAGATATGGATAGACTTATTTTAGGTCTCACCACATAGGAGGAGCATTGAGACAGGCACACTGAAATCTAGTCCTGACATTGTGAGTTTTCATGTGACCCAGGATAATGATGAGACTTCTAATTGTCACCACAGTGCTGGAGACCACAGAGTAGACCTCTGCCTTCTGACATTGACTCAAATAGTGGGAGGCATGGTGGCCTGGCTGGGACACCTGGTATGGATTTCCTAATGGGAAGAATATTGCTGAAGGCTGCCCAGGATGATTAGTTACTCCTGCCCCTTTCTGAGTTCAGAGGCTGCTACCAGAAACAGTGTCTAAATCAGGCTTCTCAGTTATTTTCACTATTTCAGAAAGTGGAGCTCCACATACTAAGCAAAACTATCTTGCTTTTTAGGTGTTGTACAGAACATGTCTTCCTCCCTGAAAGGAACAAAGGAATTGCTCGTTTTCTTAGGAAAATCACTTTTTGGTGTTCTGGAAGCTCTGCTTTTTACTTTAATTCCAAAGCCACGAAAAAATGTTGCTGGTGAAATTGTCCTCATAACAGGCTCTGGAAGTGGACTTGGGAGGCTCTTAGCCTTGCATTTTGCCCGCCTTGGATCTGTACTTGTTCTCTGGGATGTCAGTACAGAGACGAATGAGGAGACACTCCGGATGGCTCAGGAAGCTGGTGCCACAAGGGTACATGCCTACACCTGTGACTGCAGTCGAAAGGAAGAAGTCTATAAAGTGGCTGATCAGGTAAATCTTGGGGGCTTGTCATTTTTTATGGGCGGTAAGATCCTTGTGTGAATACTTAGGCATATATCTTACCAGTTTTGTTATTCATTTGTCTTTCTCAAAAGCCATTTGCCTGTCTAATATTCCTTTAAAAATACATTGTTTGGCAGTGGCAATTTGGATTTTTTAGTTTTTATTGTGTGGAAGATGTTGTGCTAAATACCCTGTTTGTATTTATTATAGCACTACAAAGTAAAATATAATTGTATTAGTCACCCTTCCACTGTTGAGACAAAATACCTGACATACACAACCTAAAGGAAAACAGGTTTATTTTGGCTCATAGTTTCAAACATTTCAGTCCATGATCTGGCTTTTAGGTAGAAAAGCATGACTGAGGAAAACTGTTAATCTCATTGCAACCAGAGAGCAGACAAAGCAGGAAAAAAAAAAAAAAAAGCTCAAAAAAGATATATCCCTCAAAGGCATGCCCCAAGTGATCCACCTTCTCTGACTAGGTCCTACCTACCAATGGCCCATTCAGCCATGGACGCATAAATGGGCTAATCCTTTGATGAAATTAGTACCTTCCTCATGTAATCAATTCTCAAAAAAGTACCACTTCTAAATAAGCCTTTTAGGGGACATTTTATATAAAACTGTAATTCACCTTTCACAAATAAGGGCAGGCATGTAGCTTACCTAAGAAATATAACTAATAAGTAGCTAGCTAGCTACAGCTGAGATTTGAGTTTATTGAATCCTGAGTAGTGCTCCTTATCACTCTTTGTCATGCCTGTGCTGATCACTTGCATTAGAGGTAGGAGAGATAGTAGCATCCTTCTGTGAGAATAAAGAAACAACTAATAAATACTCTGCCCAGGGTCAGAGAGCTCAGATGCAACTGGCGACGGAAGCAAGGATGCTTAGATTTGCACTCATATTTAGTCTGATTTTAAATCCAAACTGTGTCTACCACCATGCTTCTCATTTGAATGTGTTTTTCATAAGTAGACATAAGAAAGTCAAAATACTTTACTCATCCAAAGACTATTAAATGCACTTGCTTCTGCAGCAATTATACAGAAGGAAATAAAAGAAAGTTCCAGGAAGCCAAAGCTTTGATATACCAATGGTAAGAAGGCTCTTGGTACATAGAGAGTCTGCCCGTTCCCTCAGAAGGATCTCTATGTCCTCACATAGACAAGCACACGCCCACAAGTCATTCTCCTCATCATTTTGTTTGTAGCTCCCAGAATTGCTCAATTTAGGGAGAAGGGAGGAACCACACAAGTCTGCCGAGAGCAGCCTGGCTACTTTGCAGGGTTCTGTCACATTTTGCAGGCTCCACTGGCATCTCCTTGTTATTTCCTCCATCACTTCGTACAGGAAAAGTTTACAGGTCACTAGCAGGGTGAAGTTTTGTCTTCTTATTTTGTGTCTTTCTTACTACAGTTCCAATCATAGGCTTCCCAGTACACACTGGATATCCAAAGCTGACCAGCTTTCACAGGCTTACACAGGTGCCACCCTCCAAGCACAGCCAACCTTCTAGATTTGGCTGTTTATACATGAAGCATGATCATCTGACACGATTTATGCCCACTCAGGACAGACTTAAGCAGTAATTGGTGACAACTGACAACTTTCAGCTATCAGTCAAATTCCTGTGAAGCATTTTATAAATAACTAGCTCGCTCCTCCCTCGATCTGTGATTTAATTCTGCCCCAAATGCTTGCTTTTAAAGTGGTGAAATGTCATAGTGCTAGCAACTTTTATCACTTTGTGGTCTTGGAAGGGTTTATCGGTGTGCTCTTTTGAATTTAGAGGAAGTTGCTTCCCGTCCTTGTAAGCCAACCATTTTCACTTCTTATTCTGGATAATGGGAACATATCAGAGAATTTTTAAGAAGAATGCTGTAGGAGAGTAATCAAGGAGAAATGTCTTATGATAGTATGCCAGTGATTTAACTCTGCTGAATCTGGTAATTTTTAGATCTTATTGCCCAAGACCATAGCTTAGTCTTGAGTTGAGGAAGTCTAGAGTTGGCACATCGCATCCTGGATCAGAAGTTATTTTGAGCAAGCAAGAGGTAGTTGTCACTAATTCTTGTTGTGGTATGTGGAAATGTCCTGAATTTAATGACCAACTCATAGTCTTTGCAAATCAAGATCACTTTGACTCAGCATGCTTCCAATTGGATTGTTACCTTCACCAGTCCTCCACCAAAAAGAAACAAAAACCTAAGCTTCTGAATTTATTTATATGAAAATTTCTTTAAAATTGCTTACCAAATTCTGATGTCCAAGATTATGAACTACATGATCATTGGTAAAATCAGAACTTTCCCTACCACCACTAAAACTAATCAGTTCTGGTTGTAAAACCTTGTATTTGGAAAATCCTTATCAGTCATCTCGACAGTTCAGCATTAGTCTCTGATACACGTGGCAGCTTGAGGACGTCCCCTGGGAGATTTTTGTTTTCATAGTATAGACATAGGCAGGGTGAACCCAGCTAAAAGGTGGCCACAGCTCATATGTGAGTTTTGCAAGAGTTATAAAACAGAACTAAGTACACTATTGCCTCACTTTTATGCTAAGGTGAATACTAAATGCAAAAGAAAGGCAGGGGGCGAAAGAGAGAGGGAGGGAGAGCAGGCTACTTAAGAATTAGAATGTGTTGCATTCTTCCTTAACTGTGACCCCTAGGCCCTTAGAAAACAAGAAGAGTACCAACACATCTATTCTCAAACCAAGCATGAGTGTTTTACTATGTTAGTATTTCTCAGAAATAGTCAATTAGAGTACATGAGCCTATCTATTTCTTTTTGGTATAAGCTCTGGCTTTTCTATCCCTGATCCTGAATTAGGACATCAGCCTCTAATACTGCTACTGTCTTCTGGCTTAAATCCTTTTCTGGCTTTGGCTTTTGCTTTAAGTATAGCAGAAAGTTGTTTGCACCTTTAAGTGCTGTTCACCTTAGATTTGGTAAAATATTTTAGCCATGTAACAAATCAATCTTGCAGATTGTTTCTGATGCTTTTTTCTGAAAACTCTAGCATAAAACATAAGGTTCCCTTAGTCTCTATCTTAAATGTTTCCTAAGCTGCAGAGTCAGTTGGCTAGTGTAAATGCTCAAATCATAGTACCTTAATGCTGAGACCTGGACCTAACAAAATAGCAGATGAAAAGATGGTAGCTTCTGCTAGCCTCAGTGACACTTGTTCCCTTATGCCATACTGTACCAGTACATCTTACACCATCCACAGGGCAAGTATACATGCATATCACACATGCAGGCAGATGTAAAATAGCACTGCTGTGTTCCTCCCCCAAGGCACAGGAGAAGATGTGCATCAGGGCCACTGCTGATGATTTAAATTACAGTAATGAAATTTAAAATACAACTAAGAACATAGGGACAGTATCACCTCCTGTCATTAATCCTGGAAAGATATATGCCTAATTCTCACATAGGAACTGAGATTACACTATGAAGTTTCAATAGGAGAGGCTCCAGTGTTTTACCTAAAATTTTTATTTCCTAAATAAAAATGATTAAACACCCAAACCAGCCAGTATTGAAGCAAGTAACATTACTCACAGATCTTAAGCTTATATGTTTTATCTTCTTCCTCCATTTGTTCCCTACTCTGCCCCATCTCAACTTGTGCTAGCTCTTGACCTATATAGTTATATCTGGTTACATTTGGTTATAAAAAAGCTATTCTTATATACCATCACACTGATTAAAATTGTCTGTTACTAATATAGAGCATAGAACAAAATTGTTAGTCAGAGTATAAAAATAATCTTAACTGTGGAAAGAAAATAACATCAGAACTAGATCTCTACTAGACCAGACTACAAAAGAAAATAGCTTTTATTCTTAAATATAATATAATATATCTAACCATGGGAAAATAAAACCTACATTCTTTAAGGAAATATTACCATGGTAGTATATTCTTGTTTTTCACCTCAGGTTAAAAAAGAAGTTGGAGATGTTTCCATTTTAATCAACAATGCTGGAATTGTAACAGGCAAGAAGTTTCTGGACTGCCCAGATGAGCTTATGGAAAAGTCATTTGATGTGAATTTTAAAGCACATTTATGGGTACTTGTTTTTTTCTTCTAATTAGTATAAAGTTATTCTGGCATTGTGTAGTACTTTCCTCTTGCTCTTTAATTTTGTCAGCCTCTAAATAGGGCACAGATATCACAATTTTGTGTGTGTGCTTGTGCCCGTGTATGTGTGTGTGTGTGTGTGTGTGTGTGTGTGTGTGTTGCTAGTGATTGAACCCAGGACCTTGTGCATGCCTGAGAAGCACTCTACCAATCTATGTTTCCAGGCTTGCTATTTTAACTTTGGACTTGTCCTGGTCCACTCAATTGTCCTGTATTGATCCAACTTAATCTGTAGCTCTCTTCAAGGAATCCTACAGAGATAGAACTGTCTTTATGATCATATTTCTGTTTACTGATTGCTGGAAATGTTGCTGTCCCAAGCAGCTCACTTATATAGTAATCCCTCTGTGTCCATGGATTCCACATCTATGGAGTCAACTAATCAAGAGTCAAAATATTCAGAAAAAAATTGTTTAAATGCAAAAGGTGGACAAATGTTTTTCCTTGTCGTTATCCCTAAATAATGCAATGTAACAACTATTTACATACCTTGTATTTTGTGTGAGATATAAACCTAGAAGCTATTTAAAGTATATGGAAAGATATACATAGGTTATATGCAAATAATACACTATTTTATATACAGGATTTGAGCATCCTTGGGTTTTGGTAATGGGGAAGGGGGACTAGAACTAATCATCCCCAAAATACTGAGGGATGACTACAATCCTTAAAACAGTTCAGTGAGGTACACAATAAGGAGCACAGAACTTGAAAGATTTGCTCAAGTCTACATAACAAGTAACTATACTTAGACATGGCCAGGGTAACCTTATAATTTGCCTGTGCAGGGGTGCTTTCAAAAGTGAATGGGGCATTATGTACTATCAAGTGTCGATCATACCTATTTGGGGCAAATCAAACCCTTTGTTGGTACCTAACTGGAGAAAGGAGAGGTTTTCTCAGTAATAGCATTCATGATTACAGCCCTGACTTATAAAGTGATGCAGTCACTTCTAGTAGTTAAACTCTGCTGGCCTTTGTTGAATGAGACCAGCCACCTCTGACCTCCCACACTTTATACATGGCCCCTTGCTGCCACTCCCAGTTGTTTTGTTTTGTTTTGTTTTTTTTGTACCAGGGATCAAACTCAGGACCTTGCACTTGAGAAGGAGGCGGGAGCACCTCTGAGCTAAATCCCCACTCCCAGCTTTTGATCCATTTGGTTCCAACCCTGGCTTTTCATTTCCTGGTCAAGACTCCCTCATGTGGCGTATTAGCTGGAAATTTGGACCTCTGTTGTTTCTCTTCACACCTTGCCCAACTTCCCTTCAGCAGCCTGAAGTTGTAATTTGAAGTTTCTAGATTTTCTGTTCCCAGAAAGTGTAGTGGTGCTGCTGGTATTCTTGGTGTTCTGTAATGTAAGAAATGCGAAGATCCAGAACTTAGTGATCATCTTGTTCCTATGGGAACTACTACTGCAAATAATATCTTTTGTCCCAAATGTCTCTATGTCCTTCTCCTTTGTAAGATCCATACATATATGTGTATGTTTAGAATGAAGAATTATATAATTAAGTATATGTAAATGTACATATAATACTTATATATAATTAACTATATATAACAGTTATATATGGTTAGAATAAAGGCAAAGATCACAATCCCCTAAAAAGTCTCCATTCTTGTGGCTTTTATGTCTTTTTCCCTCCTCTGTCTTTGCCTGGTCATCTTCATTGTGTTGACTTAAGGTATTTTTTATGATCTAAAACATTTAATCATATCAACAGCTGAGGAAAAAGTGTACAATATGCTATTAAATATTAATTTTTTCCTTTACTTTTCTTAGACTTATAAAGCCTTTCTACCTGCTATGATTGCTAATAGCCATGGACATTTGGTTTGCATTTCCAGTTCAGCTGGATTAGTTGGAGTAAATGGGCTGTCAGGTAAGGGAAATGTAATGTTTTACAGCAGAATTCGTAGTAACTTTAACTTACATTGTAGCCCTGAACTGTCAGCATTGACTTGATGCCGTAATAATAAAAAACAATGAACCAAGCTATGTAGTCACTAAGACCAGGGGCTGAGAACTTCACGTTACTACAAAACTGCCTATCAGTTACACTTGTATGAAGTTGTACTGTGCCTTCTCCCAGGAGATTGCATAAGATCCAACAATTCCAAAGGGCACAGTCCAACTTCATGTAAATATTCTTTTGTGCACAGTGATTAAATTCAGCTGGCACTATTACATGAATGGTAAGAAAAGCCACCCTGCCTTATCCTGAAGTTTTCAATGAATGATCTCTGCTGTGAGTTTGGAAACTGTGTTCATCTCAAGAAAATTAAAATCAACCTTTCTGGTTTTCTACTTGTTGAAGACCTGCAAGAAATGCTGGTCATTGTCATCTCCTCTGTAACCCCAGCTGACTTGACAATAGTATTTGACAGGAGTAAAGAGATACACAAAGATTTTTAGTCAGGGAAGGCAAACTCAAGAGCTGGCCCTGGGAGGAGCAAACATCTTGACCTTTCCTAGGAGATTCTAGAATAATCATCCTTGACCCCAGCTTGCATAGTCTTCTGAAGCTCATCCAACAGAAACATAGCAGCAATATTCAGATACGTGCTCATCAGGCACTTTTGAACTAAACCTCATGGTTCAAGATTCACCAAAGAATTTTACAACCATCAGCCACCCAAAATACCACTCTATAATCCCTGAGCCCTGGACTCTTCCTTCCCTGTATCCTTCTTTGAATTCATCAGGGGTTATTATTTATCTTTCTATGACATTTCTGATGAGTCAAAGTCCTTTGAGATAATGTAAACATGTTTGCAGCTGCAAGCTTGCTTCTGAAGCAACATCTTTGTCTTTAGATGTGAGACTCTTCCATCCTCAGCTCACCTGAAAAACAGTGCAAGCTTTTTGTTTTCCCCACAGTGTGGATCTTGGCTCCTTACCTAGTTTGTAGGTCCTGGGCTATCTTTGCTAATTTGAATCTTAAGGATCAAGGGTTGAGCAAGTTTCATTTGTCCTAGATGACTCAGATGGTCCAAGAAGCCTCTCTACCCTTCCTTCCTACCTCTCACCTACTTTCTATGACACCCTTGGCACCTGACAGTCCTGTGCCCACTGCTTGTAACCTGATTCTTGCCAGTCATAGTAGCTGCATTATAACAACCCTCTTCTGACTGTGAGGAAAAGCAGAGCATTAATCCTCTTAAGTGCTGTAACTTTTCCAAATCTTTTTCATCCAACAAATCGAATATATAAGTATTTTCCTAAAGCAAGTATGATTAAAGACAGAAAGCTTAAGATGAACATAAATGCCACTTTCTATTTCTCCCTGCATTTGTAAAGTATTTAAGAAGTGAAAGTTGAAGCCAGTAAGCTCTTTGTTTTTAATTGGAAGTAAAAGATCATTAGAAGTCTGCATCTCATGGAGAGAGCAGGCAATTCATTTTCAACAACAACATTGGACAGGAAGTATAGAGAGAGAAAGGAAAAGGCCATCACCCCAGTATATCCTTTGGAGGCATACTCACACCGACAACTTCCTTCCACTAAGCCTCACCTTTTGTTTTTTGTGTTTTTGTTGTTTGTTTTGGTGCTGGGAAGGGAACCCAGGCCTTGCATGTACTTGGCAAATACTCCACTGAGCTACAACCCTTATCTGTTTTTCAAAATTTTAGGACATTCAGTTACACAGGCTATTTTTGAACTTGAAGTCCTCTTGCCTCAGCCTCTCAGGTAGCTGGGTCTACAGGCATGTGCCACCACACCAGGCTAGGCCCCACTTCTTATGGCTTCCACAACCTTTCAGTACCACCACAAGCTGGCAACCAAGTCTTTAGCACAGGAACCTTTGGAGGACATTTAAGATCTAAATAACATTCTTCCCCAGGCCCCCAGAAGCTCATGTACATTTCACAGTGGAAATGCACTCAATCCATCTCCACAAGTCCTCCAAATCTTACCAATTCCAGCCTTGTTCAAAAGTTCAAGCTCAAAGTCTCTTCTGAGACTCAAGGCAAAATTTTAGCTGTGAGCCCCTATAAAAATCAAAAAATAAGTTGCATACTTCCATGACACAGTAGTACAGGACAACTATTCCCATTCCAAATGAGCAGGCTGAAAATAACAAGGAGTCAGACTAAAGCAAGACCATAACCTAGGAGGCCAAACAATAAGTCCCATATCTCCATTGTCTGACATCCAAGGCATACAGTGGCAGAATGTTGGCCACCGAGGGCTTGAGTATCCCTGAGTGACCATCTGGCTTGGCTGGCTGCAGCCTACATGATCTCTCTTGGCTACCTCTGATCACGGCCTGAACCTTTCCTCAGTACACATTTCATATTGGTGGCATCTTTAACTTTCTAGATATTCATTGCAGCTTTGGCTTCACTGTAACAGCTTCACATATCACCCTGACTGGGGCTGTTTACAAGAAATTTTCTCCTGCCACATACTGTCTGGCTGCCCAGGCTTTCCTTTGAAACTTTGGCAGAACCTTTTCTGACTCCCTACTTCTTTCATTCTGCATACCTGCAAAACAAAGACTGCATGGACTTTGCAAAGTCTGGTACTGCCCCAAGATGTACCTGAGCCCATTTGAACCATGACTGCAAATGTTTCTGAGCACGTGTATGGCTGAACATGAGGAAAATAAATCCAGAGAAAACAATTCCCTAATTGGCCTGGTTAGAACAGGGCACCCCAGGGCTCTCTTCTCAAACAGAAGTCTTTGAGCTAATGATGGGTGACATCTTGTTGATTCCTGAGATATTCTTGGGGCATCTTTCCTATTATCCTGGTGCAAAGTACTCTACTTTTTTAAGTAGTATAGTACTAGTGCTCAGATCCAGAGCATTATACTATGACCTCTTTGGTTTGTTGTTGTTGTTGTTTTAGATAGGGTCTTGCTACATTGCGCAGACTTTCCTCAAATTTACAGTTCTCCAGATTCAACTTCCCAAGTAGCTTAGATTGCAGGCCTGCACCACTACACCCAACCTTGGCTTTTTTTCAATACACTGATCTCCTTAGCAACCACATGCTCTTTTACAGTTCTAAAGGTGTTCCTTTTCTAGCCAAACTCCAGATTTTTCCACTTTTCTCTTTGCTCCCAGTCCTCCCTATAAGTCTTGCTAAAACATCAAACAATCCCTATGCAGTAGACTGAATGCTGTGCTACTTTGAAATGTCTTCTATTTGTTGTACTAGTTCACCTTTAACTTACAAAGTCTCAAGGCATGGACAAAATGTAGATAAGTTCTTTGCCAGAATGTAGCATGAATGATCTCTTGCCCAATTCCCAACAGAGTGCTCATTTCTATCTGAAACCATTAGCATGACCTTTTTTCCATAGGTTTCTATCAGCAATCATGTGGTACAAATCTCAGCTTCTACAATGTACAATATGTCAAAATACAAGAAAGAAGGTATGCCTGTATACATTAGCGTTGTCTCTCTTTCAGATTATTGTGCAAGTAAATTTGCAGCCTATGGATTTGCTGAATCAATGCTTATAGAAACATTTGCCCAGAAGCGTAGAGGGATCAAAACTACAATTGTGTGTCCGTTTTTTATAAAAACGGGAATGTTTGTGGGTTGTACTACTAGGTATGTATGCCTTTTGATTTCAAAAATTATTTAAAATGGTTGGTTATCTCTCTGCTTTTGTTCTGTTGTTTAAAATTCTTTAGAAGATATTTTTCTAACATTCAGCCTAATTTTGAAATGATTTCAGATTTTTTTTCTTTGCATGTGTTTTAGAAACTGAGTGGGATGGAAATGGTCTGTTAAGGCAATGTCCAATTAGTAGCTGCCCTGTGGCTCTAGACCTGCTTATTCATCTTGAGGTTGTCCTGGCCACAGGGTGGTCTCTGCCACCCAGCTCTATTCAGCTTTCTTTCCTGATTCCAGGAAGACTGGAAATCATTGAAGGAAAATTTAGTCTAGGCTGCTATAACAGAAAACCATACAGTAGGTGATTTAAACAACAGAAAATTCTTTCTCACAGTTCTATAGGCTAGAAGTCCAAGAGCCAGAGTCTGGCAAGAGCCTTATTTTGGTTTGCATATTCTGCCTTCTTATTGCTATACCTTACTTGATTTTGCTGGTGGGAGTGAGGGTAGAATGTCTCTTTCATGGCTGTTCTTATAGGACACTAATAATAATGCATGAGGGTTCCATCCTCATGATCTAAAGATTCCAAAGACCCTGCCTTCAATACCATTACATTAGGGATAGGCTTCAACATGTGAGTGGGCTGGGAGGAGAGAGATACACCATGCCAGTAGGAGGGACAGATCACCAGTTTTGCATCCCATGGAGACAGCAAGTAGTTTGTTTTCAGTAAATTGCTTTAAAACATTAGATTATTTTTTAAAATAGTATATTGATGCTTATTATAGCATCAGCATATAAATTAGAATTATCATTTTCCATTTCAGATTCTAGTTATGTTGTTGTTACCAGGAAGAAAATATAAAAGTACATAAAATCTTGAAGTTGAAAAAATAAGTGATACTGTCTTTCAACCTTTTTATCCCTGATTTGATGAAATTATTCTTATTAACTTGTTAATTTGAGTTTTGCTTTGTTGTTTATCTTCTAGTTCCCCTACTCTGTTGCCAATTCTGGAACCAGAATATGTAGTCAAGAAAATAATAGATGCTATTCTGCAAGAACAGGCATACCTGTATTTGCCAAAGTTTTTATACTTAATGGTGATTTTAAAAAGGTAATATATCAGTTTCCATTACTTCTCTAAATGCCAGTCAATAGTTTACTCTGTGAGGCCACCTAAAACTGTATCTCTTAAATTAATGAATCTTTAATTAATTTTATTGATATACTTTGATATATATAATGATCACGCTAATCATAGGGAATCTGTACCTGTACATAATATGTCTTGATTCTTCTTTTTTTCTCCATTCCTCTCCCCTCCCTTCAACTCCTCTCCCCCTTCCCATTTAAAACCTTTGTTTCTATTTTCCCTTCTAGTCTCTTTTTTCTTTTTCCTCCTTCCTTTACCCTACCTCCCCCTTGATCCCCTTCCCATTTAAAAATTTTCTTTTTGTTTTAAAAAGGAAAATCTTCTACATGCTTGTGAACCCATCTTTGGATCTTTTTGTTGACATAATGCCAAATTGGCAAAGATATAAGGCCTGCCATGAGTCCAGGAAAAGGGGTGGACCCTTCCTGACTCTTAGTATTGTATTATTACCAAAAGGAGGTAGATTTTTGAATCCTCTAGAAACAGAGAGATACTTTTTCCTTTGCTCATCATAAAATAATCACTTCACAATAGTATATCCTTGCAAGGAAGCAATTCCATCTATTTACCATCCTCTGCTGAGTTGAAATGTGTATGTTTTTTGTTAGCTCTAGCTTTCTCCACAAGCTCTTTGTGCAATTACACTCCTCTTTTTGTGGAAATTCTTCAGCTATTTGAACAGAAGTATAATACTTCATCCTCACTACATGCCTTTCCTGCATTTGGAAGTTTTTCTCCTTAGTGAATTGTATCTACTTTGTGCAATGAAGTAAATGCCATCCTTACATCCTATATGAGTGATGGTGAACCTTTTAGAGCCTTCAGTGATAATAGACAGCCCATGGTGGCATGTATGCCATGAGCTTGCCACCACTGTTATGCCTTTTCCAGGCTTCATGTCACACGAGAGAGATCAGTGTGACTGACAGAGGCTGTGTGAGACAGAGCAAAAGATCTTTGACAAGCAATTTGAAATCCAGGTTACAATCCACTGTTTACCAAGTCTGTGAATCCTAGCATGCACTGTTTCTTCATTTACAATGTAGAGACAGTGATTGTGAGACTGTCCAGATTAGTGGTATGCACTGTGTATTGGGCAGCCTGTGTATTTACAGCACAGTGGGTATTCTCTTACGTAATAGAAGCTAGGAATATAGCAAATCCAACTCTAAATAGATGGGACTTAATTTCTCTTCTCTGAGCAACTGTATGCTTTTACAGCATATTAGTTCTGGGTCATACTTGGGAGGGCTAGATAGTGCTGAGAAGGCTAGAGGAAACAGAGAGGTTCCATAAAGGAGATTGCAACAAATTGTCTTTCAGACATTTATTCACCAACATTTTGAGAGTGTCGTGTGTGTAACATACACCATCCCAGGTTCTAGGGATACAGCAAAGAACAAGACACAGAGAAATTTGTATCATCATGGAAATTGTCTTCTTTGGAGGGACACAAAATAGTAAAAGAAAAGAAAAGGTATAATAGGGATCATCCATGCTATGAAGAAATGTAAAATCAGAAAAGGGAATCTCAGGATGGAGATTATAAGGAAATGCTTCTAATTTCCATTCTAAGGTTCTCTTTTCTGAGCCCAGTCAGATGCCTCCACCACCAAAGCCTGTGCTGGAAACACTAGACTTGCCTGCTTCCTTTTAGTCATTACGCAGGATAATGATGCTTTGGAAACTGAGATGAGAAGTGAATTGAATAGTATAAGTGAAACCAGGAGAGCTATAGACACCCTGAGCAGGTGAACCCTACATAGTGGACAAGGCCCAGCCACCCTGAGATACATAGCACTGACACTGCATAATGTGTGCATGAATGAATGACTTCACCTATGACAACAAGTGTCAGATTTCAACTAAGCTACTAAAGATGATTTCAAAAATAATAACCAAGAAATTTATCTTTGGTTTGTATTCTCTTTAGTATCCTGCCCATCAAGACGGGACTGCTTGTAGCTGAGTATTTAGGAACCTTTAAGGTAATGGATGGCTTCGTTGAGCAAAAGAAGAAAGACCAACTAAAGACCAACTCTGTGTCTGATGCCATCTGATACCAGAACTATATCATGATTAGTTCAAAGAAGAAAAGTATGTTTGTCTAACAGTGGAATATACTGAAGACAAGTATTCCTACTCTGCTATCTGGACTAGAATTTTCAACCAGTGTCTGAAATTGACATTTTTTTTGTTGAGTTTGGGGATTTTGTTGTTTTGTTGTTAGGGTGGGTGTTGTTCCTTTGTTTTAAAAAATAAAGATAGGGGCCGGGGACTTAGCTCAGTAGCACTGCACCTGCCTCGCAAGTGCAAGATCCTGAATTCAATCACCAGTACCACAAAAAACATTTAATCAATAATAATAATAATAATAATAATTATAAAGATAGCCCATTTTGTCATTTCCATTTACAACAGAATTGAGAGAAAGGTAAAGTTCTCTCATGAGCTGCCCCAACACTGGTCTCTGTGGAGGTGAATCCTGTGGGCCAGGTGGCTGTTGTTACCTTCATGGGACATGAGGGCCTGGAAGAGCATCAGAAGTGCCCAGATAAAGTGCCCTCCAGAGCACACAGAAGCTCTGGATTCCTTATCACTTTGCTCTCAGCTTTGGCCATTTTAAACTCAGATCATCAAGCATAGAAAAGTCCAATACCCAGGGCCTTCCTTTCCAAAGCAGTTTCACACTTACTGTTAAATGCCCTAGATACTCACACCAAGCGCCAGTTGTCCAACTGAAAGTCCATTATGTACCTTTGTGTCGGGGACCTTTATGGACCTTTCCTAAAGGACACTCATGGCCAGTGATCCCAGATCAAATGCTCAAATCACATCTCACTTTTTCCTGCAAGAGGTGGTTACTTCTTACTCTAAAAATGAAATTCTACTGACTTGATTTACTGACACCACTTGATCCAAAAGCCATATTTGTGTGGCTAAATTTAAGTATTGAACTTACCAGTTCAAGTTGGGATTCATGTTGATGTGTTTTTTCACAGAATGAACAATTTTACACATTTGCATTCATCAGTGCAGCCCCCTCCTCAAAGCCATTGTGCTCATACAGTTTAATCAACCTGCAAACTGCTTTCATGCTTTAGAGATTAACTATGAAACAAAACTAAGAAAAATGTGTTAATTACCATATTCCTGGAGCTCCAGGTGGAGGGGGCACCTGCCCTGCAGGGAGAACAACAGCCTTTTTGTCTGCTTCCCTCTTGGGGAGCAGGATAAGATGAGGGGTACCTCAGAAGACTCCGCAAGAGTTAAAAGAATCAGGAATTTTAATATCTTGAGGGCGAGATGCTCTTAGAGGGAAGAGGGCCTCAGACAGTGTGGGGTATGGAATACACTGTGGACTGATTCATCTTGAATGGCCCTCGTGTTTTTGATAAGTCTGTTCCTCTATTTCCCTTCCTTAAAGAACCTTTTATGATAATAATAGTAAAGATGATGATCCCTAATATTTACTCTTCCTGGCACTACCTAAGCACTTCACAAACCTTATTCCATGAAACAAAAATATCAAATCATGACTAAGAATGAAAACGGTGTTTAGTGGATGCCAAAGAACAGGCACTTCGTTTCACAGAGGTATCCCGCTCAACTGTAGATGTGTGCCGCGAGAATCAAAAGCCCTCAGGTTATCCAAATGATGTTCCAAATCCTTGGTTAACAAGGTTAATTAAGAGAGAAGCTGCTATATTACAATTCCAAGAGTGTGTATTCTGAGATCCTGTCTATTTAGTTGAATAAAGAAGAGACTCCGAGGAGATTTAGCAGAACAAAGGTCTGGGGGCAGAGTGGGCATCCACCACATCATAACGGCATTAACAGCAATTATTGCTAATTGGAGTACATCTCGGCTGGACTACTACAAAGACCTGAAATTCAATTGTGGTTTTACAAGACCCATAAAATTGTCTAAACAGATTCAGGTTTACTTGAGGCAATCCTATGAGAAGAGACCACATGTAAATTAGCGGATTCTAGAGAGTAATAAATAACAAGGTGATTTAATGGCTCTGGGGAGCGAGTGCTCTCAGCATGTGTCTCATGCTTGTTTCCAGCTGAAATGGAATCCTAATGAAGCCACCATCAAAGAGCTCAGCACCTAAGTGAGCCTGAGGAAAGGGAGGGCTGCAAGGCCCACACTAAGCGCTCTGTTCTTCGGAGTGTATAGCTGAGCGTTTCGGTCCCTGAGCTACTCAAAAACCAAGAATCCTTGCTACAAAAAGTTTGGCTGGGTGAAAATGTGTAACCATGATCTCTTTTTTAAATTTCTTAACTATAGTTTTATACTGGGGTGCTGTCAAAGTTTGAACTGTCATAACAAAATACCACAGACTGGGTAGCTTACACAACAGAAATTTATTTCTCACAGTTCTGGAAGCAGAGGCAGCTGTCTTCTCACAACGCTGTCATATGATCTTCCAACAGGAGAGAAGGAGAAAGTGGGGGGTTGTACCTTATAAGGACACTAGTTCCACACCTTCATTCCTTTGTCTAACCCAGATTATCTCTCAAAAGCCCTACCTCCTAATACCACATTGAAAATTAGGGCTTAAATATGTAAATGGGACTTGGGGAAGGACGTAAACATTCAGTCTATAACAGACTGAAAGACACCAAAAGATAAAAGGAAAACCAGATCACATTTGACCTTCCCACTCAGAGTCCCAGTGCTGAAAGGGTCAAAATTTGTCTAATGAAGCCATTTAGGACCTTGGAGGCAGAGTGAGTTGGAGATGCTTGGAAAAGCCTAATTCCTACTTCTGAGACATAGCATTTGAGAAGACAAGACTGAGAATTTGGACCATTAAACACAAACTAATAATGTCCTTAGCAGAGCTACTCTATGGAGAGAAGGTATGGTAGTCTAGGTACCCTCAGCATTTTCAGACCAGTGACCTGTCTGGGGCTTACCCAAGTCTCTCCAGTTCACTTCCCTTTCTGGCTACCAAAGGATCTCGCATTGCTGTCAGTGCAAAGTGGGTCTTTGAAGAGATATCTTGCCCAGATTGCTCTCTTTTTGCCCATAACTTTACTACCATATTGAAAACCAAACTCAAAAGCCCTACTTCCTTTGATAAGTGCATCAGCTATTGGGGTTCATTCTTTGAGAAGGCTGCTTATAAGGATAGAAATGACAAATCTCTGACCTGGTACAAGGTGTAATCAAAATATACAGAGAATGTTTGAATTTTTTTAAATGTTACTACAGTAAAGGACACATTTCCTTCAATGCCCCTCTACTTCTCACTTTGAACACAATCATCCCATTGTTCTTGTTACTTTTTGAAGCAGTTCTTTCATGGATGTCTTTATGAGACATGATCAAAATTACAGCGAATGCTATTTCTGGGTGCCATCCATTGGAAAGGCAGGCCCATAAAAACATTATAATATGTGTTTATCTACGTTATTCTTCGGATTTGGCCCTGTGTAATTTCTGGTTCTTCCCCAATATCAAAATGACCATGACAGATAAATATTTTGAATTGTTTCAGGGAACTGAAATAGCCACAACAGCACAACTAAAGTAGGACTTCCAAAACTGCTTCAGAAAGTGCCAAAATGGTTTTTCAGGCTGTTCACTGCTATTGCAGTAGCTCCTGGCTGGCCTCTCTGCCTCAGGCTTGACTACTCTACTAGTGGTAACTGACAACTGTAGTACAACGGAGAGTAAAGAAAGCAGTCTTTCTCTCTGATGTTTAAACTGTCTGGAGGTAGCTTTTGAAGGCAGTTAGGGTGCTTCATGGAGTTAGGGACTATAACAATTTGGATCTGGAATGTTCCCCAAAGGCCCATGTGTCAAATACTTGGTCCCCAGTGTGGTGGTATCAGGAGATGATGGAACTTAAAGGCATGGAGCTAAGTGGGCCATCTTCAGGTCATTTGGGGAATTCCCTTGAAGGGGAGAGTAGGACCCCAGCCCTTTTTTTGCTCCCTTTTACTTCTCGGCCATGAGGTGAGCAGCTTTGCTCTACCACATGCTCCCACCATGAATGGCCAACATAGTCCCCAAACAATAGGGCCAACTGATCCTGACTGAAATTTCTTCAACTGTGAACCAAAATAAATCTTTCCTCTTTATAAGTTGATTGTTTTAGATAGTTGCTGTAGCACTGAAAGGACAACATAGGAATCAAGTCTCTTCTGTACATGTGCTCAGCTATGCATGCTTCAGAGTCTAATCATCAAGGATTACCTCACCCATTATGCTCACACCAGTGTGGAAGAAACCCCTAAGCCATCTCAGGACCATCCATGGACATTGCATGCCTCACAAACAGCATATCCTGTTGACCAGGATTAGTCATACGACTAAACTGATCTGCAAAGAATGGTGAGAAATATATTTATATTTATGTTTTACATGAGCCAGCTAAAGACCAGGGAATCTATTACTGTGGGAAAAGATAAGAATGGAGGTTGGGTGTTCAAGTTTCTGCCAGACTCATCCCCATATATTTATATATCTTATTCCTATCAGGCAGAGCCTACAGACTATCCCCGCCGAAGTTTTTCTTAGCCACTGCAAGCCACAGGTCCAAAATCTCTGGTGCTGTGAAGCACCAGATCACAATATTCATGGTCTAATGACCAAAAAGGAAAAAAGCAATTTACCCCAAACACATGCATGCAATGGTGCTTGAGAAGCAGGAAAGCTGTGATTAGAAAGAGGGAAAGGGGGAAAGGCAGGGGAAAGAGAAAAAAAACTTTCGCTTTTGAAATCAGCAGAAGAAAGAAAAATGGCCCACAGAAGTGCAGTCTTGCTGAGCAGAAATCACAAGGACTCAGACAGTCCTACCTGGTTCTGCTCTGGAGAGGTACCCCGTTGTCCTTGTTTCCTCCACCCCACCCCCACCTTCAACTGAGAAGTTTATTTGTTATTTGATATTTTCCAAGATCACAAGATTCCAAGATTAGCTTTGAAGACTACGTCCTTCCTCATGACTGCACCAATTCTATTATCTCAAACTCCAGGCATGAAGAATCACAGAAGGTTTCAAACCTGGTCTCTGCTTTGGCAAATAATTCTCCTAGTAACTCAGTAAGTGTTTGTTTCTTCACACTCGTTGGACTAAATAAACAACTGTCAAAGATTTTGCCTAGGTATAGCTCCAAGCCTTAAAATTGTGCTGTTACTGGCATCTCCCTCTCTTGCTCTATCCTTCTCCGCTCCCCCTCCCCATGTAGTCCATCAGAAGCCAAGGCATACTGTAGGGGAGGACTGC